AACGGGACGGGACTGCTGTGGAATGTGTCTTGAGCTGTTTATTTTTTAGCATCAGTCTCATTACATGGTTATAACAATGGGAAGATGCCAGAAGCTCACATCCCAGGCAACAGACCAAGAACTTAATGTTACAACTTACTTTATAAGCTTTTTGACCAATCACACAAAGCAAAAGCATATTGACAGTAGTTCTATCCAATCACTATAAATACACATACCTTTGCTTAAAACAATGCTTGCTTATTTCGAATACAAAACTTGCTTGTAAGCCTCAAGATACAATGCACAGAGATCCATTATTAAGCTTAGAACTTCATAATATCTCACCAGATATACTTTTCTGCAACTTAGGGAGTTATTCTACCCAAGCGTTAATACACAGACCATTGTTCTATTTGTCCTTTCTTTCTACTTTTTGTATAATTTTTCTGCTGACAAATCTTATAGCTACTGCTTATCTCTAAATCACCATCCTGCTGTCTCTGAGGCCTGCCTTTTGAAACATGCCCAAAACCCTCTGCTTTTAAGGAATCCCACAAGTTCCTTGGAGGTGTGGCAGCTGGAGCGACCACTTTGTCTCGAGGCTTCTTTGGTGTCTCTTCTGCCATGAGCTGTGCTTTCTGTGTGCATTCCTCCATTATTTGGTCAAGGGTTGGTGGTGGTGAGACAGGCAAGACTAAGATAATTATTTTGCAAACTTCATTTGCATTCGTGGAGGTGATTTCCAGGACGATCTGGTCCTGGAGTTCCAGCCCCTCCACACGCTTCTCCACAGCTTCCCTCACACAGTTGACAAAATCTATAAAAGGCTCAGCAACAGATTGTTTAATTGCTGCATATGATGGCATTGGCTCCTTGGTGGGCATGGCCAGGAACGTGCACTCTGCCGCATCCCTGGTCATGTCCAGCACTGTTCTTGGAATTCCCCTAGCCTGCAGCAGTGCTTCACTCCAGTCTCCCTCACCAATAAGGTGGTTTAAAGTGATTGGTTCCTTTGCAAGGTTGAGGCCATATGGGCCCTCCAAGATACCTGGGAGCAGAGTCCCTGCCAATCTCCTCCACCTTCTTTCCCATAATTTGTATTCTGATAGGCTGAGCAGACAACAAAACAGGCAATTAAGGTCTGCAGGGACCAATGTTTTTGATGGAAATGTTGCTCGTAACATGTTCCTGAAAGAAGGACTTTTGGGGCCAAAATCTCTTTGAGTCTTGCAGAGCTCTTCTATAGCCTCGTAGGAGAGGGGTTCCCATCTAGAGTTTCCCTTGCACCGGGCTATAGGAAACTGGAGCTAAGAACGGCTGATCTACTACATGAGCCTGTTCCCGCTCCCCCCTCCCTCCCCAGCACCTGCGGGACTGTGGGAACCTGAAGGTGGGGCATGGGTAACAGGAGGAGGGTGGTCCTGTTGACAGAGACCTCTGTGGACTGAGGGGTCTAGGCCAGTGGTGGGGCCGTGGGAAACTGAGGAGGACTGGAGGGAACACTCGCAGGAGGAGGAGCAGAGGGAGGGGGAGTGACACAATTTCCAGAAAGGGCTGCACATACGTCAGCAGGGAAAGAGGAGGGATTTGAGGCAACAGCGGGAAAGGGAACAAAGGGCTTGGGGGAGGGAGAGACACCTGCCACCATTTTGCATTGGTAGTGCAGTGGTGCCTCTCCGGGGGGACAAAGGGAAGGATTTAGGGGAGCAGAACTGCATTCGGCTGTGCTGAAACCAGGATGCATAACTGGGAAAGAGGCATTGGGATAAGGGTTAGGGATAAAGTCCTGGGCAGCATGGCCAGTGCTGTCAGAGCAAAGGTACTGGGGGGACCTGGGGGAGCCAGGAGCACAGTCCACATTCCAGGACCTGCCCTGCACCTGCAAGTGGTGGGTTGCCTTTCCCTGTCCATCCGATTTAGGGGAAGATAGGAAGGGAGAGCTAGGTGGGGAAAGGGGTGTAGGAAAAACTGGGGATTTGTCCGCTGGCTGCTCTTCAGCCACCCATCCATGTCTTGTGCACCTTCTTTTTTGACCACTTCCCAAACCAGCACAAACAGCTTCATGAAGCTCTCCTTTATGGAGGGGTCTCCACGTTTGATTCCTTCTGCTAATCTCACACCAACTCCCTTCCAAAAATCCTTTTTCTAACATTCTCTGCCGAGAGTCCCAAAAAAGCAAAGAACAACCATCGGACGAATTTTTTAACCAAACATTTAGGAATAACATCACCCCCCTCCCTCAATTGAGGACCCTCCCTTAGGACCCTTAACTTGGATATATAATTTTCTCTGGTGAGTGGACAGCCTAATATCCATGCTGCTCACTCACACAATCTCACCCACTTGCCACAGGAAAGGAACAACTAAAAGAAAAATGGCCGAAGAGTCGCCAATGGTGAGCCACTGTATGCTGTATGCTGTACCTCCCCTAGCCTCAGGAACGTGGCCACCCACACCAGTGAGGGAAGTTCCGGCCGGGTCCGTCCCAGCCACCGGAAAACTTACCCAACTGACGATCTTCGGAAATCAATCTGTATCAAGGGTCCTCCTCTCAAAGACGTCTCCCCGTAGCAATTGGTGAGGAGTTAAAGCCTCATCCCTTGTGGGCATAAGCAGGACAAAAATCTGTGTGCTCACTCAAGGGCATTGGTGCTTCCACTGACTGAGTACACACAGTCCTGCGAGGGGCAGTTCCATGTGGAGGCAGCAGCGTTCGTCGTGGCTGTGTCTATAGCAGCGGCCGGTGCTGGGGCGGCTGGTGCAGTCTGGCAGTGGCGGCGGCTACACGGTCTGGTGGCACCAGTCAGGAGACCAGCACGCGGCTTTGGCATGGGCAGTGTGGTCCTGGACCGTGGCTACCATGTGCGGGTGGCGTAGTCCTGGTGCACAGCTCGGCAGCACAGTGCAGTGGCCGGCATGATACAGCGGCGCAGCGGTGGTGGCATCCTGGTCGTGTGGCCTCCAGCAGCAGCAATAGCTTCCGACTGTGGCAGCCGGCGCCGGTGGGGTCCAGCTGTGCAGTGTCCAGCAGCGGCATCTGGTGGTGTGACTTCCAACAGTGGAGGCCCGCAGTGGTGGCACATGTGCCTCTGCAGCTATTTTCCTGCCTGAAGGTGGAGTGCCACCTGCAGCAGTTATCATCCATGGCCCCGGGCGGGTGGAAGGGTCTGGCTAGTACAACCCATGTGAGGCCGCGTGGCCGCCACGTGAGTGGATGAGTGATTTATTAAAAAATATGGATATTGATCTAGTATCAATATCCAACTGTGACGGACAAAAACTCTCTAACGGTTTAAAGTTAGAAAGTGTATGTTTATTCGACACCGGGCAGTGTGTGGGATAGCTCCCAAATACACACCACACCTTCCAGGTGATTACAGAGTCTTTTTATCCATACAAGTATTGCATACAAAAAATACAAATACATATTCATCATTTTAGTACATCCCTTTCCCCGCTTTGTATGCTAATCACTCCAAAAGCTATTAAGCATGCGTAGTTTGTCCCTTGAAATGGGTCGGTGGTCCCTTTTATGGGGAGAGGTCCCAAAATGAGGAAGTAAATGAAGTCTTCCTCGTTCTGACATTTCTACCTTTTCAATGCAAGTATGACAAATGAACTCTTGGTAGAACTCCCATTCCTTGTCTTCAATTGGTTTCAGAACAGAGAAGGCCCACAATTGTCTTATGTTCCTAAAAGCTATTTGTCAGTTTTTATATTCTTCATTATAAACCCAGCTAACTAAACATTGTGCTGACAAGCAATTAATTATTAGTTAACTACTAACTCCTAACTTCATCAAGGCCTACTCATTTATTATTATTATTTTAATTAACTCTAGTAAGGCTTATTTTTCTTAGCTCCTCAAAATCTCTAAATACCTTAAAAGTTTACATTTCATGAGCAGCTTAAGTAACTCTGCACACTGAGAGGAGATGAAGAGATGAGAGAAGGACACTTGTATGCCAGCCCAAAGAGTCCTTTATTTCCCCAGGTGGGGCAAGAAAGGTGCCCTCTGAATGGGTACAGTTACAAATGCTGAAGAAATCAATGATTACAGCAACTTAAATAGGGGGTGGGCGGACAGGGGTGTAAACCTGTCTTGCCTAATGGGGATAAACCAGAGAGAGATACAACAACCTATGATAATGTAGCAGGGGTAGGTACAAGGTCAGGGGACAAACAGAAAAGCTAAACCGGAGTGATTGATACAAAACTTTCTGGAAGAAACTGGGGATAGTTACAGGATTGACAGTCAAAAGGGTATAAACAAACTCGGATTGATGGAAACAAATAGTGAGAAAACAGGGAGAGGCGGTATGACTGACATATAACTGGGGAGCCAAGTGGCGGGAACTTTTGGGTTAAACAACTTGTATCAAACCAATTGCAAGGGGACAAACGGGGGAGCATAAGACTAATTAATATTGATAAAACCAACTGATTAAATCAACCCACACTGCAACACTCTAAGATTTCAGACTTTTGCATTTAAGGGGCACAAAGGCAGTGACTTGGTCACTTTGTGGATATCCATGTGAAGTGATGCTACTGAATCTGTCTGTAGCACAGCAGCAGAAGAAAAGCTTCTCAGTTCATCAGGTGTATTGATCCTCAGTATTATCTTTTTATGAGGGAGAGAAAAACTGGCTTAAAAGTGATAGGAGGGGGAAAGATGTCGCTATTGAGTAAAAAAGTGGCACAGACTCCAAGAAGGCTGGTTTGTACAACAGGAGCATTAATGCAAAAAGTCTCCTCTTTATAGACTGACCTGACATATTCTACCTGATTGGCTAATGAACAAAAACACTTTTATCACAAACAATCTGGAGAAGAACAGAAAAACACCACCTGCAGGTTGTTTACAATAACAAGCTATCATTGTTTCTCTACAACTTCCTAAAAGTCTCACAAGTCCGCCGTGAGAAAACTTCTTTTGTTTTCTCACTCTCTGACCGGGCTGTCACATCCACAGAAAGATACCTCTGAACTTTCTTCTTTCCTTCTGTCCATTACAGGTAGATCTCTGCAGCTCACAGATTTGCCCACGGAAACTATCAGACATTATCACAGGCCACAGATATTAATTGGAGATATCATAACACAGCTAAAGCAGGTTTGTTGCTTGGTGTGTGCAGCAGGTTTCTTGCTTGTCTTTTCCCTTTTTTTTTTTTCATGAATCATTAATTTTGGGTGCCTAAAGGTTGAGTGCCCCCATGACAAGTGTAGAGTCTAGGGAGACACTAATCTCACATGTGTTTGCATGACACTTCATCCAAGACTGAAAGATGTTTTCTAGTACCATCTGTGTAGCAGTTGCCCTTTGGCAGTTTTCCTTATCTCCTGTTAATGGGCCCATCAATGTCTTGCCACATGACTCAGAGATAACACTCTCCAGGAGCCAGTTCTGTGATCAAAGATACACCTCGGTGACTCAGAATGACATCAGCCCATTGTGAGATTCTCTGCCCAAGGGAGAGGAGCTAAGCATCCCCACCTAGATATATCCTGGGATTTCTAGACATAGAAACAGCCTTCCCACAGGTTTCCAAGAGGACACATCTGGGGTTTTTCCACTGGACCAACTATACCTCTTCTACAGGACCACTGCACAAAGAGAAACCCCATCTGACACTCCAAGAGGACTGCAGCCACTCTAATTTGGACTGCTACCAACACGCTGGCCAAAGGGGTGTCAGGTTGTATTCTGACTTTGTCGGTGGTCTTTCCTTTTGTCTGATTGCATGTATTTTGTCTCTTTTCCCTTTTCTCAATAAATTGTGTTTCTGACTTGGAGTCTTTCACTAGTTTTGCTTTCAAACCAGAATATACTTAAATAGCTTTTGTCTTGTCAACACCTAAGGGACACATCCTCTAAGAACCCGTGTCCTGTGCATGGCAGGGGGTGTCATTGAAAGCCATCAGAACGTGGATTCACCCATAGGTGTATCTGCCCATTCTCCCCACTTTGACCACCTTTCCTACAGCCTCAAAAGTCAGACCTTCTCAAAAAAAGTTCCCAATCCAGCATTGGACTCCTGGTCTCTTTGCAAAAAGAATATTCCCTTTGGCTTGTGGGAATCTGCAGCATCAGTTCCCTCAGCAGACATTGCTTTTAAATCTCTGTCCCATCCATGATGGATATGTACTGGATGGCAGAACATTTTTAAATATTTGCTGGACTCTAAAATCCAGCCTACAGAAGCTGAGTAAATTTCTGAGCTGACTAATTCTCATTGAGTCACAATTTCTATTTTTGCAGTGCACATTTGCAAGGACCAAAAGAGGGAAGCAGTGCTGCTAGAAAGTGCAGTTTTGTATAGAATTTTCCTCTGTTATTTAATTCTAGATATCAAAATAAAGTGCTACTGAAAAGAACAAACTGATGCCAGTGCTGCAGGTGAGAGAAGGCACATGAAGGAGGTCAAGCACATGAGTTCAGACCCTGGATAGAGGCAGTCCTCTTGTGAAGCAGGGGAATTTTCAAGGTAGGTGAGTCCTTGAGACAGTATGGGGCTGCCAAACGGCACAACAGGTTTGTGTAACACAACACAACTCTGAAAAACTTCTCCTTACTAATTGTGCACCTAAGATGTACACTTGGGGTTTGGTGATGCCCTCCTTTCTGGGATGCAACAGAGACTCCTGCAGAGGGCAGCCTCCAACTGATTTATTAAAAAAATATGGATATTGATCTAGTACTGATATCCAACTGTGATAGACAAAAACTCTCTAACAGTATAAAGTTAGAAAGTGTATGTTTATTCGACACCGGGCAGTGTGTGGGATAGCTCCCAAATACACACTGCGGCTTCCAAATGATTACAGAGTCTTTTTATCCATACAAGTATTGAATACTCAAAATAAAAATGCATATTCATAATTTTGGTACATCCCATTCCTCGCTTCATATGCTAAACATTTCAAAAGCTATTAAGCATGCGTAGTATGTTCCTTGAAATGGGTCGGTGGTCCCTTTCATGGGGAGGGGTCCCAAAATGAGGAAGTAAATGAAGTCTTCCTCATTCTGACCTTTCTACCTTTTCAATGCAAATATGACAAAAGAACTCTTGGTAGAACTCCCATTCCTTGTCTTCAATTGGTTTCAGAACAGAGAAGGCCCACAATTGTCTTATGTTCCTAAAAGCTATTTGTCAGTTTTTATATTCTTCATTATAAACGCAGATAACTAAACATTGTGCTGACAAGAAATCAATTATTAGTTAACTACTAACTCCTAACTTCATCAAAGCCTACTCATTTATTTTAATTAACTCTAGTAAAGCTTATCTCTAACTAAAATCTTAGCTCCTCTAAAATCTCTAAATTCCTTAAAATTTATGTTTCACAACTAGCAGTGTATTTCCAAAAGCAACAGGGGAAGATATCACATTGTAACATAATTGTGGAGGTGATAGTGATCCTAATAATATTCCTAGGAATAATCGTAATTGCTGGAATCCTGGATGCTGAGAATTTTAAACTTTCTGTGCTGAAAGGCACAGACTCGCAAGAGAGCACTGCATTTGACCTGAAGCTGTGGAGAAGACTTCTAAAATTGATTAACAGCACTGGGATTCCAGGTGTGTAGTTGGTTAGAAGTGTGTAATATCACAGTGGAAAATTTAGAACTTGGGGTTTTAGAATATAGAAATAAAAATGAAGCAAGATGGGGGTTTTAGGGGGGAGACGGGCTGTTCTTCGCCTTCTTCCTTCTTCTTCATGGGTTTGGGTCATGTTTTGTAATTGGACAGAAAAGTCCACATTGCAGGCTTTGAGGGATGTTATTGGGTTAAAAGGGAAAATATTCTAGGTGTCATTTCTTAATTGGATAGTTTAGTTTTAAAAGACCTTGTAACAAGAGATAGTTAGCCATTTTATGCTTTGCTAATGAAAGACTGCAGAATGCACAGTTGTGAGGTTGTTTCACTGATAAGAAATAATAAACACGTGAGTCCGAACATGAAACACCATCTCAAGTGCCTTCAATCCCAACCGCGACAGAGGTAGAAAACACAAGCAGAGGACCCACACATAATCCTGGTAGTAGATTACGACTGTGACCTCACATCCATTGCTCTGTAAAGTCAGGTGCTGTCAGAGCCTGGGCCAGCCTGTGGGAACAAGTACACATGGCCATGGGGAAGGAGTGGAGCTGCCCAATCTGCTGCAATGCACCAGATGACGTTGCTTATGTGATGCCCTACTGCCATTGATTCTGCCTTGGCTGCATCCTGTGCTGGGCAGAAAGAAATCCGGCCTGCCCACTCTGCAGAAGATCCATCTTGACAGTCAATTTTTCTGATCATGGTGGAGATGACTACCTACACTGTGTTATCACACCTCCCAGAGAGTTGCCAGACACCAGCAGCCAGGCAGCAGAAGCTCCTAGAGGCCTGGCTGAAAACAGACCTCCTGGCCCTGCAGATTCCCTTGCTTCTTCTCCACAAGGAATACCTACAGCCCCTGCTCAGCAGCAGGCTGCAGGACCAGAGGCCATGGGTGGCATCCTGCCTGCACTTTGGGCAGAACTTTTCCGAAGACAATGGAACCTCCTGGACCCCGTGAGGCCATGGCTGCACATGGGGCTGGGGATTATATATGGGGGTGAGTGGTATGAGGTGAAGAATGCAGAGAGCGGCATCGTGCTCGCACTCTGTGTCTATGGTCCAGACAGAGAAGTCTTGGTCCAGAGATTGCAGCCCCGTCTCCAGCAATACACTGCATCACTAGTCCATGGCATCCTCAATATCATTGAGACCTAGTGCAGTGAGGAGGTTTGGAGGCTGCTGCACTCTCACATTGCCAGGGAGGAGGATGAGATCCCTGCTGCCACCTCTGATCCCCCTGCCTCTCAGGAGGGTGCTCCCACCCTCAGCCAGGCCCCATCCAGTGGCACTGCAAATTTCAACACGGAGGAGGAAGCCAGCACATTGGAGACTGTCCTTCATGGACACCCCAGCTGTTCCCCATCTACGTCCATCCCTGCAGAGCAGAAGCAGCCCCAGGAAATGCTGGGAGAGACAAGAGTGGCTGCAGGTTCCTCTGCTCCTGGCCAGGGCACTGAGCCCTCACCTGTGATATCCGCCAATCCGCCGAAAGAAGAGGACCCCTGGGTCCACAGATGCCTCCCATTCCAGCAAGAGGCAGCACCATGATCAATCAGCTCTAAAAAGGCCACAGCAAGCCTTTACTCAAGGGAAAAAAAAAAAAAAAAAAAAAAAAAGGCTATTTCCTTAATGCAGTCTCAGGTTGCATTTTCCTTCCTCTTCTCCTGAAGCAGTTTTCCTTTAACCTTACACGCCAATGTCAGCCAAAGGCTTCTGGAGCCCTAGGCCCATGTTGGCAGAGCTGCCTCCCCCAGGAAATGCTGCTGCAGCCACAATGATGGAAGATCTTGTGAGAAAACACTGGGGTGGATGCTTAGAGAGGAGTCAAAAGGGAAAGACTGACCAAGCATTCTGCAAGCAAGCAATGGAAAGCCGTGGAAATGCCTTGCACCATTTCTGCTCAGTGTCTTAGGGAGAAATGTACTGTTTGCTGATGTAGCTGGGGAGAATCACATTGCTTGTCTTGCTGAGCATCCCTCATTTAATACAGGCCAGGGCACACAATGGCTGCATGAGATTCAGAGGGTGGAAAATGATTTGCATCCTCATTTTTGCAGCTATGTGTCTTGTTTACTGACAAGTGAGATTACTTTTTGTGTGTGTTTGTTGATTATCCCTCTTAGTCTCAGACTAGGGGTGTCCAATATATAAGATGCTGTGTGGTGCCTTTGTATCCAAAAAATGAGTAAGGATTATAAAAACTCATTGACCATATTTTCAAAACCGTACTTTTTTACTGAGTAATAGGAATAACTTTTTATGTGTTATTTGGTCTGGACGTTTGGAGAAGCTCTTATTCTCTTGAAGTTGAGAAGCTGAGGAATCAGAAATTCATAGAATTCCTATGGAGGCTGGGCGGAGTACAAGAGGCTTTGCCCTCACAGAGATAATTTCTGAGGTGGGCCAGCAGAAGAGAACACCAGGCAGTTCAGTATTGTTGGAGAGCCAGGCTTTGGAGTGTCTGCCACTCTGATGCCAGCCTCCACAATTCAGTGATGCACAAGGGATGTCTGTCCCAATGTTCCATTGCACCTCTGCGCATATCTTGAGCTATTGTAGCTCTGCTTTCTACTTTTCTTCTCACCCATGTCTTCAGCTCACCATAGGTATTTCATGCCAGTCATCAAAGGCTCTGTCTTTTCTTCCCCTCCTCAGATGCCCTTGCACTTCACTTTCTCCAGTCGTGCCTCTACTGATATAAACAACTCCACCCCAATGATCCATTTCCCCATTGCTTCAAACATGAATTGATCTGGTCCCAGACTTGGGATTTGGGACAGCATTATTTGGGCAATGTCAAACTTAGATGATGTTGCAAATACAGCTGCACTGATGCTTTTCCCCTGCAAGGCTCCCCTTCCCAACATGTCTCTAGTTCTCCTGTGCAAGTTATCTGTGCATTTTGGCCATCTCTTGGGAAACACTCCTTCATGGATTGTGAAATCCAGCTATTCCTCCTAGTGTCATCTGAAACTTTTCCTGGTTTCCTGAACCCCCTGTGCTGAACTTGTGATGATCTGTGATGGACCAAACTTTAACCTTGGTGTTTCTCCACAGCCATGTATCCATTAACTCAGATCTCATAGGCTAGGAACAGCTTTTCTTTCTGCAGTAAAATAATATCAGAGGCTTTTTCAGTGCATGCATTCATCCATTTCTCTTCTGACATTCATGGTTTAGCAGTGATAGTCCCCAGTTTTGTACTCCCACTAAAACCATGCACTGCTTCCCCCCCGCAACTGGAAGCATGAGCATCTGGATGTTTCTGCACATTGTGGAAGGGAATTCTCAGAGGACGCAGAGACACCTGTGGGTCACTGTTGTTTGAATGCAGCTCCTCAGACAAGCCCCTGCATCCTGTATTTCCTGCAGGAGGTGGTGGCTGTCCTGCACCACCACCCACAACAGAAGCCACCTTCTAGAGAGCTGACAATGTGTGAGCTACATGCTATGTAACAATCTGTGGCAGAGTACAACACCATCTGATGTACATGTCACATCAGCACTCTGAAAGTAAGGTTATAATTCTAGAGGCCTGTATTTCTAGAGTTCTATGCCTACAGATATTTAGGTAATCTATTGATATTTGTAGAGTTATATCATGCTTTTTCACCTCTTCCCCACTCTGCTGCCTCTGTCTCCTCTTGTCATGCTGGGGTCTGGGCTGGCAGGCAGGCCAGGCTGAGCAGCAGTTTCAGCCCCAAGTCCTGGCTTTTTACATCTGATGGGAGTGGAAGGAACCACCAGAGGAACCAGGCACTGACCCCTTGGGGGATATCTCGGCTCAAGCCACCAGGGAGCCACTGAAGGGCCAGTACAGCTGAGGGTACCAAGCTTATCACAGAGGACTGCACTGCTGAAGGCATGGTGCTGCTGTGGGTGGTGATGGTGACACTGAGAGTATGGTAAGGCTGTGGGGGCTGAGAGGAAGGAGTGAAGCTGAGGGATCTGGGGGAGCTGATGGTAGGGACTGAGGGGACAGAGAAATGGCATGGGCTGAGAGAAATGGTGGGGCTCAGGGCACTGGGGACACTGAGGGGGATGGCAGCAATGACGAGCTTGGAGTGTCTGAAGGGATTAGGGGAGCTGCATGTGTGCTAAGACTTTGGTGAAGCTGAGGGCATAGTGGAGATGACAGTATTTTCTTTGTTTCTGAAATCTCTGTCTGCTCTGTTTCCAGAAGGACTTTTCTGCACAGGAGGAAGCAATTGATGGGAATCATGGGGATTCAGCTGGATTTCATGAGCCAGCTGGATTTCATCTATATTTTGTTCTCTCCATATCTGTATTCAACTATGTTTCTGTCTATATATACCTATGTTTCTGTATGTCAATAGTTGTATTTCAAATTATATGCTGTTATACTTACTTAGTTACATTATACAGAGATTTAGATAAGTACTTTAGTATTTGCATACTTATATTTGCTTACCACGTATATTGTTATTTTTGCACAAATGTCAACATATTTATATACCATAGATTGTTATGTTTATATATGTATGGTGTTCCACGTAAAGCTGTGTAGAGTTGTACAGTTTAGTGTTGAAGACAGGTAGAAGAATTATGGGAAAAAAGCCTCATAAAATCAGGCCTGCTCTGTTAGATCAATGGCTGGCCTTGCTTTGCAAGTTCTTCGAAAACAATCTTGGTATGAATAGTTGATTAACATAACAATCTATTCCTGGGTGGAAAACAACTAGTGCCTGCATAAACAGTAAATCTATCCCAGAGGATTAGTGAAGAAAATATGTAAACAATTTAAAATTAGAAGAGATTTAATGGACAAGTAAAATACCTTTTACTAACCAATAGAGTAAATGGCAAGAAAACTACTAACCAATTAAAGTTCACACGATATAAGTATAAAAATGTTCTGTGTGAATGAAGAAAACATTTTATTCCTGAATGAAAAAAATGGAGTCTTGAGGTGGCTGCTGGAACCTGGGCTAGCTCTCAGAACTCCAGCCACAAGGCAGGAGTGGGGAACTGTGGGATATGCCCCTGGGGAAAACAGTTCAGGAATGCCATGGGAAACTGATTTGTTTAAAACAGAACACTTCCCCAGAGTTCCCTGCTTCCCCATGCAGATGAGCATATGTCTATCATCTGTCAGTTCATGCTTGTCATCTCCCCAGGTTCTAGAAAGTTCCCCATTCTCATTACTCCCATTGGTTCCCTCAGCAAACCACTCCTTCCCTTCTCCCTCATTAGTCTAGTTTATCTTGTTCCATCCCTGCTCCTTCCCTGTACCCTTTTCCCGTTGAACGTTTTGTACCCCAACCACTCCTATCCCTTCCCAGTTAAATATCCTATCCCCCTCCAGTTAAATATCCCAGTTAAATATCCCCAGTGCCTCTCAGAGCTGTCTCCCCCTGTGTGTGGTTGTTTCCCTGTTCCTGTTCCTGCTTCCTTTGTCCTTCAACTTGTTTCAATAAAACCACATGGATTTTGGCAGCACGGGAGTCTTCCTGTCTTTTGGTAGAGCCTCATTACGCTATCGAGGCAACTGTAGACCAGCCAGCAGTCTGTTGCTCTGCAGGACTCAGTCCGGGGCAGCCTTTAGGGAACTGCCTTGGTATGAGGATTTACCAGAGGCAGAATCTTTAGAGCCACTTGCTCTAAGGTGACAGACACAAGCCACAACAGGGACCAGGCAGAGGAGAAAAGAGGATGCTCTCCATCTTGAGGTTCCACAACAAACAGTTTATTCCAGGTAGAAAGAGTAGAACAAAAAGCCCACAGATGTGCTGTCCAAGGCGTTTTGTAGAGATACAAGTCGGGGGTGGACAACAGCTAACCAATAGGGAATCATCAGGGGAGGAGTGCAGGGATTACATCCAGTGTCTAGGGCCAATTGGAGTAGGAGGGTGGAGAGGATGGGTCACATGGGCCAATTGGGCTTTAAGGAGTAGGGGAATTCCAAAGAGGTATTGCAGACAGGGTTTGGCCCAAGGCTTAAGTGGCAGAGAAGGTTCCGGAATCAAGGGCTGGGTTGCCTTAACAGGCAGAGAAAAGAGCTGGAACAAAAGGTGGGGAATGGCATGAGGGACAGCTTTGAAGGAGGGTAAAACCCAGGGGTAAACCAACTCAGGGAGATCATGGGGGTACAACAGAACAAACTACTTAACAAGGAATCAATAAAATAAATTCAAACCACAACAGAGTCTCACATTATTAATTCTAATAGTTTAGTTATTGCTTTGTGCATATTTAGATAGTTCATTTGATGTTTGTCTTTTTGTATATATACATACGTAGGCATTACTTTGTAACCTGCAATATATTTAATTGTGTGATCTGAAAGTGATATTTATATCTTTATATATGGTCACTGCAGTTGTACCAATCTGTAGTAAGCTTTTAAATGAAACTGGTAATTGCGTATATGCAGGATGGTTGCAAGCATCGTATAATCAATGACTTTTTTTTAACTGAAAGAGGTATTGAATTGTGGCTTTTGACTCAATTAGCAGATGTCCACCTTAGGAACCAGGAAGATTTTAGCAATGGGTCATGATAGGGGCTGGGGGAAAATAGGCAGGCATGCCCCACACCACAGATCCCCCAGTTCCAAAAAAGGAGGGAAAGAAACTGCAGGGTTTGGATAGGCAGTGGAGCCACAGATTCAGGGAAAACTCACTGCACGGGCCTGCTAAGGAAAGCTACAATTCCAAGTGTAACTTTGAGAAAGGCAAAGAAACCCCAATCCAAGAGGACATCTTACTTCTTTCCGGATACCACTACTTTCCCACATAACAAGCAGATGAACATAAATCAATCCCACATACAGTGTATCAACTCTTAAGGTATATTTACACCTGTTATTACTTTGGAGTCCAAGAGATCTTTTGTGAAGTCCACAATGTATTTCTAGATTGGTGTACTCTCTGAGAAATTATTTTTTAAATATGGCCATTAGCACTTTTCTGACAGTTTCAGACATGGAAGATAGAGATTTGCCTATGCTTCTAAAACCCCTCACAAGTTATCTATCCTCCAAATCCTAGGGAATTTTTACTGTGTTATGAATAAATTTAATGTCTAACCCTTTTGTCTGTTTACCTCCTCACAGTTCAGAAGTTTGCTTGTTCATGTATTTGTTAGTTCCACCCTTATATATTGGCCCCTATACCTAATTTACACCCCCAGTTAACTCCCCGAGCCTCTGTACCCCTTCCTGCCGTTGGTACCTTTGTAAAAATCCTTTGTAGAAGGAATCCTACCTGTTTGTTCTGCTGTTTCTAGTAGTTTGAAGCCCCTTCTGTCCCTTACACTGCGTCGGGTAGTTCAGAAGCTGCTCCCAGGAAGTTGCTCCCAGGGAAGACTTCCTGTTTCCCAGAGGGCCTAGTGTCTACTGTATATTAATTACTGGACTCCAACATAAACCAGAATGGACCCAGACAACAAGCCAAGAGCAGAGACTGCAAAATGATCTACACCTACGTGCAGGGGAAGTTTCAAGGAGCCAGAGAGGGCCCTCAGCATTTCTGGAGCCGACCGTTGTAACCAAAGGAGCCAGAACGAGGTAAACCCCCCCAGACCAAAGAGCTACAGCAGAGTCTTTTGACGTATCCTACGAGGGCGAAGACTCCTATCCTGCCTTGACTGACAGGCTCATCTACCCCTCCTCTGGGACGTTGACTCACCTGGGAGCAGCGGTGGCGTTGCGAACCCCGAGCCCCCACCCCCATAGGCTATCCTTTTAATAAAGGCCTTATCAAGAAAGGAGCACAAGGTCTCCTGGCTCATTTTATTTACATCAACTGTATTAGCTGAGTGCCTGAATGCTTTAAAAATCTTTAGGAATATTAAAGATCGTGAGAAATATTTCTTGCCATAAGCAATAGCACTCAGCTTAGTTCTGATGTACATAAACCAGCATGATACAGGATAACATAATCTGGTTCCATGAATCAATGGCTCTGCTTGTAGAATGAATCAGCATCAGTTAAGGGAACATAATTACATATAGCACCCCGTCAATGATCTCATTTTCTTTGTACTTTTTGCTCCAGTAAAAAAAGTCCATAGCAGTATGACAATATTAGAGCCTAAGAGAGAAGAAATATGCCGTATGACCTCTAATGAAGTATTTTCTTAGGTAAGCTATTTATAGAGCTAAGTGGTTAGAACAGGATCATGAACATCTAAGGTTGTAGAACTTTGCATACTATGTAGTTCAGTGTGAGAAGATTCTGTCTCTGCTCAGATCTGGCCACAGTTCAGCCAGAAAACAAACAAAGCCTGTGGCCAGGGATATTGCTGTGGCATCTTGTGGATCTTGTGAGGTTAAACCCCTTTGAGATAGAAGATGGACAGGAAGTCAGCTGCACTAATATAGCTACTTGACTTCTGTAACAGAGGGAGAACAGACAGGGTGAGCCTCTATGAGCCTCCAAAAGAAGCATGTACATGTACCCTCACTGTGACAACATCCAAAGTCAAAGACAGCTTCAAGGAATGCAAGTAGGTGTTACTACATCATAATAATTAAATTAGAGCAATATAAAATTAAGACTGTTGTCACTTAGTAAAGGTGAACAGCAGAAATATTTCTCTAAGAGCATTGAAGAAAAAGGAAACCATAGGTGATAATTCTCAGAGCCCCACTTATATTAATGAATACTATGTGATCTACAGCAGAAGCCAAAGGTCTTCTTTCTAGGTTGTGGCAATTTACATTAGTTTTAATGGCTGCTGAAGCTCAAATTTTTGCTTGGGTTTGGGGGTTTTGGTTGGTTGGGTTTTTTTTTTCAGACATGGTTGATAAAATAAACAGTTTCTTTTTTTGATTTTTATTTTCCAGAAACTTTCTAGTACAGATAAATCCAAGGGAATCAGTTTGACTGTTTTGTATCTGTAGTTTTCTTATTTGTGTACAGTATATTGTATATTGTCCACGGTCTTCCTGAAGAACTGTATCACAGAATCAGTAGCACTGGTTCCTTGGTGCAACTTAACACCATTTTTAGTTGTCCTTTCATTTGAGACATGGCAGGAGACCCATCCCCACCCGGCTACACCCTCCTCTCAGGGAGTTGTAAAGAGCAAGAAAGTCGCTACTCACTGTCCTTTCCTCCAGACTGAACACTCCTAGCTCCCGCAGCCACTTCTCAGAGTACTTGTGCTTCAGACCCTTCTGCTCTGCACTCCCTCCAGCACCTCAATGTCTTTCTGGATGTGAGCAGTCCAAAACTAAAGAAAGGATTTGAAGTGTGACATCACCAGTTCTGAGTACAGGGGGATGGTCCTGCTGGCCATACCATTGCTGACTCAAGCCAGGATGCCACTGGCTTTCTTGGCCTCCTGGGTTCATGCTGGCTCATGCTCAGCTCTGCCAGACAGAATGCCCAGGCCCTTTTCCCCATGCAGCCTTCCAGCCACTGTCCCAGCCAGTAGCACTCCAGGCATTGTGATCCCATGGCAGGACCCAGCACCTGGCCTCACTGAACCTTGACCAATTGGCCTCACCCAGTCTAGTCTTAACAGTATGAAACATGTTTGCTAGAACGGAGAAATAGATTGAAAAAACCAGCAGCCTGAAAGCAGTATTTTTACTTACATCTGAGATGTGCTATAGTTTCTCCTGTTAATTTCTTAATGACATATTCAAAGGGAAATTTGCCTTTGGATGCTCAAAAAATATCCTGACATGATGGCATTTATCTTCCCTGCAGATTCTTTCCCTAATTCTCACCCTGGTGATGTCCCCTGCTCTATTTCGGTGTTCTGTAACCCACCCTGTCCCTGCGTTGCCATCTGGTCTGTCCCACTGGTAACTTCGATGTCCCGTGCCCTGTTCTCAGCAGTGCCGGTGGGCCAGCCGGTGTTGCCATTTGCCCTGTCCGGCCGTGTCCCCTTGTCCGCACCGGAGATCTTCCACGTCCCATTCCTGAGGTGTCCCTGCCCTATCCTGGCCGTGCCCCCTTCTTACCCTAGAGGTAATCCTAACCTATCCCGGTGGAGCCGCCTCTCCTCTCCTAGCGGTGTTCCTCACCCTATTCCTTTCTTATCACGGCGGTGTTCCCTGCCCTGTCCCGGCAATACTCCCCGGCGGCCGCTCGCGACCCCTCCCGCCTCAGGGGCGCGACTCGAGGTGCGGGCGTTCGGCCGTTAGTGACGCAGCAGCTGCGGCGGCGGGGTCCGCGGCGGGCGGGTCGTGGCCGGCAAGGGGCGTCAGGCGCCCGGGCCAGCCATGACCGACAGCTCAGGTAACCAATAGGAGACGGCGCAGAAGGAGGGGGCGCGCCGGTCGCAGCGCGAGTGCGGGCGCCGCCACCGCTGGCCCATCGGGGATCCGTTCCTTTGTGCGCATCGCGTCACGCACCGCTGCCGTGGATGCGGCCGCACCGCTGGAGCAATAGTAGGCGGATGGGGAAGCACTGTGGAAAACGTCGCCCACCCGCCTGCGCCGCCGCCGCCTCATGCCGTGGTACCGTCTTGCCACCGGCCCGGGGACCTGCATGGCCGGGCATGGGGAGCGCTGTAAACTGCCCCGCCCCCAGGGCTAAGCCGCCGCTCGCCGCTTTGCGGCGGCTGCTCGCCGCACTGGGGCTGCTGCTGCTGGGCGCAGGTACAGGGAGCGTGGGACTGGGAAGGACGGGTGCGCAGCTGTGTGCGCGCGCAGGCGCGGGTCCTTTTCCTTCTCCTTTCATGAGGAGGGATTCGCGAGCTGGGCCTGTGTAGTGCAGAGGAGAGAAGGCTGAGAGGGGATCTCGTTAATGCTTATAATAGCTCCATCTGAGAGGATGGTGCCAGATTCCTTCATTGGTGCCGAGCGACAGGAAAGAGGCTATAAACTGAAACACAAAAGGTTCACCTCAACATGAGGAAGAACTTTGCTTTAAGGGTAGCAGAGCACTACAACAGGCTGCCAGCGAGGTCATGGAGTTTCCTTCTCTCGAGGCATTCAAGCCCTACTTGAACACGTGCCTTTGTAACCTGGTCCAAGTGATCCTGCCTTGGCAGAGGGGTTGGACTAGATGATGCCCAGAGGCCCCTTTCAGCGCTAAAAATTCTCTAATCCTGTAATTTATTGGACTGTTTGATGACTGGACAGACTTGCTCAACTAGCCTGATTTATTTATGATTAAAATAATACTACAAATATAACTGAACGGAATCAAAAGTTTTGATGCTTTGAAAGTCTGGCTCTAAATCCAGTATTCCCTCTGTCATTTTGCTTGGCATGGGTCTTTTTTGTATATCTGAAAACACAGAAATTGATTGTTGTTGGGGTTTTTTTTCTGTATTCTGCAGAGGTATGTATAGCTTGCACAAAGAAATTTTCAGCTTACCTGCACAAGTCATGGTCATGCTTAGCTGTAGGTGGAGAGTTCCTAATTCTACTTCATGTTGTAATGGGATTTTGACAGATTTGTGTTAGCTACACATCACTGGCAAAACGTATTACCCCTGTAAATTTATAGTTTGGATATTCAGAGTAAATCATGTGAATACTGACTCAGGAAGATGAGCTAAGGGGCAGGCAAAGAAATTGCTGATATCCTCCCATCACTGGGTGCATTGCAGAAAACAGCTATTTAAAAATGAATTATTCATTTGTTATTCAACCTGTTTTCCACTTCTGACAGCTCAGAAGTTTTTAATATATTTTGTTTTCCTTTTTTTTTTTTTAACTCTTCCATGTGTCTTTGTGGCGTTCAAAACCTGTTTTATGACAGTGAGAAATTTTAGACAAATGTTTCTACAGATGAATTTTAGTAGATAGTTTTGCAGGCTTGGACAGTTATTGTATGAAGTTGTGCACCTGATCTTTATGAAGGTCCATTTTCTCTTTGGATGGCAGGAAATGTGAGCTCTCCTAGACTGGGATCCTCCTGGTTTTAACCTGTGTGAAAAGTGTAGGTCTGTTGTCCTTAGTATGTTTTTTTCATTTAAGTTTTGCTCTTGGTAAGTTCTTTGGTAAAAGTTACCTTTAGAAAGCTGATGTTAACTGCCATGAGAATCTGGAATTATTTCAGATCATACCTGTGAGAACTGTGGAGGAGACTGTAGAACTTTGGTTTGCTTGCAAGGATTTAACTGTTTTTTTTTTTTTTTTTTAAATGGAAATCAGGTTATCAGATAAGATGTGACTGATGTGCTCATGTAAATTCAACTGTGTAGCAGTTGTATACATCTGGTAATTACTTCAGACTTTTGTGGGGAGAGGGTTTTACTCCCCCCATCTTATGAATTTTGCTCTTTGAGGTACAGCTACTGCAATGTACAGGTGCGTTAGCTGAAAACTTGCACTTCAGAAATCTGGGTTTTTTCATGCTTTAGTTCCAAAAAAAAAAAGCAGTGAAGCTCTAGTTATGGCATTGCCAGGGAAATAAAGCAAACTGCTTGTTCACTTACCTGCTCATTCTCCCCTACTCTTGTTTCTAGAAGAGAACTTGGACTCTGCTTTATTCAGTCTAGTTTTTGTCTAAACATTTTTAGACTTATGACATGTCTAACATCTAAACAATGTCTAAATAACATTACTTTGTTGCCTTTACCACATTCTTCTGAGGGGCAGAATTCTATATAAAAATTCAGTAACTTGTGTAAAGCACTTAAAAACTAAATGGATGCTTCCTTATTGACTAAGTTATTAATTTAAAAACAGAATACCATGACCTAGAAAGAAAAGTGTGGCTTGTACTTGACAGGACCTAGTGCTCTTAATTTTCGTCTAGACTATATGAAGTAATGGATTAAGACATCGTGAGTCTCATCAG